CGACATGTGAGCACAGAGTAAAAATTCCGGCGTATTTGCTCTCTTAATGCCTTTAATGTGAACGATAACTTCTAATTATCTATTGTACCATAAAGAACAGAAAATGTTAATACGTAATTTGATCAAAATCCCTCATTGGTTCTCGAGATAACGCAACTTAAATGTTGGTTTTGTTTAATTGTCTCGAAAACTGCAAGACTTACGAAAGAGGGTAGAAAGGTAAAGTCGTTCCTGTGCTTAACTAATTAAGCACCACTTCATTAAGGAGCATGGGGAGCGGATGTATAAATTTAAGTATTCTTGACCTCGGTATTGGTTGGTGAGTGGTCAGCTTCATGCTCCTGCCGCTTTACTCCAGGAAAGAGTCTCCGGTGCCCAATGCATAAGACACTGGGTGGGCCCCAACGCCGGTTTGGAAGGCGTGGAGAGGACTTGAAATCTGACCCCTCAGCTGTTCAGCTCGTAGCCAGTCGCTATACCGCCTGCTTATTTTGCTCCACAACTTCGGTTAGCAATATTTTTCGCTCCGATAAATATTTAGCACGTTACAGTAGAGATGGGCGTAGAAAGTCGTTCAGGTCTTCATATAAGGTGTATATATATATTTTTTTTCCTTGGCACTACAGCCCTAGTGGGCCTAGGCCTACCTCCATGAACTTCTCCGTTCAGTTCGGTTTTTCTAGATCTTACACATTCGGTAGGACTCTTTGGGCGGGTGATCAGCTCGTCGCAAGGCCTCTACCTGTACTCAAACACAGAAAAACGCACACACAAAAACTAAACATCCATGCTCTGAGTGGGATTCGAACCCACGATCCCGGCTTCCGAGCGAGCGAAGACAGTGAATGCCTTAGACCCCTCGGCTACCGTGACCGGCAAGGTGTATATTACTCTTGTAAAATTTAAGCAAAGCTGGAGTCTACCAACAAATTTTAGTAAAACTCCTCAATTTCGCGAAAGCTAGTTCTGAGGCCGTGAAGTTATTACATATGGACAGACAGACAAGGTGGAACTAATAGGCACATTTTTTCAACTTTTGTTGTGAATGCGAAAAAAATCACCGTTGCTTGTACGATGTTAAAAACAGCCTATTCACTATATCAAAAAATATGTCAAACGAAAGCAGTAGGTATTCATGTGGTCCGCATTAGAAAAGTGTTTTTTTTTCGGGGTCAGAAATTTCTGAAGACATCGAAAATCATATGTACAATGGTTTATGTTTTATTGGTGCCCACCATAATTAAATTTTATCATCAGTTTTCACTGCTTGGAATTGCGGGTTCGAATCCCACTCAAGGCCTGAATGTCTGTATTGTCCTGCGTAGATAGCGGCCTTGCGACAGGGTTGATCAGCCGTCAAAGGAGCCTTACCATCTGCTTATAAGAGCCATAGTTACAGATTAATTCTGATGGGAAACAAAAAAGAGGGGATAATATGAAAGAAAAAGGTAAAGTTATCCCTGTAACCGGCCATAAAGGCCCACAGGATTGTGAACTGTCGAGGCTCCCACATTTTCTAGACAGCCGGCTCACAGATGGTGGTGAGGTTATCGCCTTACGCGCCGGCAGCCCTTTACCCCCCAAGGAAGATTCCTGGTACTCATTTCTATTTGAGGCTGAGTCGCCCCAGGCCCATCGTGCGGCTGGAAGGGTTAAGTCAATTGAAAATCCAACGGCCTCATACGGATTGGAACCCGAGACCTTCCGGTTTTTAGCACAGTGCGTTGCTACCGCGTGTCCCACGAAAGATTTTTTTTTTACTCCAGTAATTATACAATCTATCCATTTAGTGTGGATAATATGTACATTTTGTGGTTTACATATAGAAAAGGAAAGATAACTTGTCGTGGTGAGCATGTTCCAATGAACCTGCTCAATACTTATTTTAACTGCTTAGTGATATGCAGTTAAGTGTTGCATTATTCAAATCTGGTGGGTAAATCTGAAGGTTTAAATCTGTTTAACCTCCTGATTTCTCCTTCGTCGTCGAGCAGTTTTTGTGCCAAGTCGTTCGGATGGACCTGGAGTCTGATTTTATACTTTTTGCTGTTTTTTTTTTATTTCCTCTCGTACTGTTGGTACATCTAGGTCCTTGTGTAGTACCGTGTTCGGCACATACACGGTGCGTTAACTATTATTCTCCCACGAAAGATGAAGAAGAATTTTAGTACAAACCGAAATATTAAATTTCATCAACATCCGTAAGTTATTGTAAAGATAAAATCTGTAAGTGGATTGGAGGACAGACAAGGCCTTCATATTGTGCTTTCAGTACAAAGCACGCGTAAAGAACAGTAGAATGTAAGAACAAAGAGTTCCATTTTGCTGCAACACATGCACTACACGTGGTCGTGCTGCCACGCTCGCCAAGTCGTGTCTCCACTCAGTGCGTACCCTGAGTGTGCTGGAGCTTATGGACTCTGCACACGCACCGCGGGCCCAGGAAGGCCAGGGTCAAGGAACGACAGAAGTAAATGGCCACATACGTAACTCGCCTGACAGGCCGCGACCAGAACTATTTACACTGCAGTTCTGCACTCAGCGGTCTCGGCAACCTGAAGGCATGGCAACAGAAAGAATTTCAATACTAACACGAGAGCTATTTGTCCATATAAGGCCATCCTCAATTCCTTTGTGTAGGTAATGTTTTAAATGTGGAATTAAATATTCCCTGGTTTTATGGATTATCAGAATACCTCAGTACTAACGGGAGATTTGAGGTTTTCACGGCAGTAACAATTCGTAGTGTTATCTTACGGTTTATGACACATCGTGAGACCGCCTCTGTGGTCTAGTTGTCAGAGTTCTTGACTACAGATCCAGAGGTCCGGGTGCGATTCCCGGCGCTACCAGATATTCTGAGAAGTAGTGGGTATGGAACGGGATCCACTCAGCCTCGTATGGATAATTGAGGAGTTATTCAAGGAAATAGCGGCTCCGGTCTAGAAAACCGAGATTAACGGCCGTGGGGATACGTTGCGCTGACTATGTGATACCCTCTATCCGCCAAAGTTGGCACTAACTTAGCCGACAAGCGGCGGTCGCTCGGTCGGTATAGTGAGCTTGGGGACTACAGGCAACGGAGTTTTTCTTTACGACGCCTCGTAGTCTGGTAGATGGGTACCAGTGTTTCTTCTCGTGCAATAAAGACGGAGAGAAATGCTACTTACGGACAATATGACGTCATGAGCGTCATGAACCTGAAGACCACAGCACTGTCATGTACGAGTACAAGGGGTCTGCGTAAAAAGTTGTCCCCGTGCTTAACTAATTAAGCACTACGCCATGAAGGCGTAGGGTGGTAAGGATATATACATCCACATTTTCTTGACCTCGCCATTAGCTGGAGGTGAGTGGTCAGCTTCACGCTCCGGCCGCTTTACCCCAGTATCCATTGGACAGGAGACTGTGTGGGCCCCAGAGCCGGTCTGGAAGAAGTGGAGAAGAGATTATTCTTGACCTTACCGGGACTGGAATTCCGATCCCTCGGTCGTCCAGCCCGTAGCCAGTCGAAATGTATCTTAAAGTAAGCCAACCGCTTCCTCCATATCCTTCCTAGTTCGTCATTCGCCCAACTAAGTACACAATATGCCCTCCACTCGTGTTCATGTAGTCATAAATACTCAGTGCACAAACTTGGCGGAGAAGTCGCGCGGAATAACATCACCTGAAAATATGAGATATGAGGATACCTTCACAGCAACTGCGTGTATTGGAACACCAGCAGCAACAGCGGCATCTGCTGTTACCAGTCTTACTAATTTGTACTGCCACTTTTCAAAGTCAGAATGGCCAAAAATTCTCCTAACTGTCTAGTAAAATTCACGCTAATATATATTAAATATGTCTTTATTACTTATTGAATTTACAAAAACTGTTTGAAAGGAAATCCTTCATGTACAGTGCGCAACCCATAACGGTATGATACCGTTCTTCATATTGGTCGGGAGGTTTAAATTTGAACATTCCCGCTAATACGAATGAATGTTTCAGATTTACTGAATTTTGGGCCACTCTGCATCCGTTTATTGTTATATTTTAACAAATTATTAATCTGTAATCAACTATGGATAATAGTGTGATATTAACAATTACTGATTTTTAATTCCCTTATGAAATAAGAAAACGGAAGGCTAATTGGATTGGTCATGTTTTACGCAGAAACTGCCTTCTAAAAGAAGCTATCGAAGGAAAGATAGATGGGCGGATAGAAGTGACAAGAAGACGAGGAAGAAGACGTAAGAAGATGCTGGATGACCTTGGGGACAGAAGAGGATACTGTAATTTGAAGGAGAAAGCTCTAGATCGCATCAAGTGGAGGAACTGTTTTGGAAGAGACTGTGGACCTGTCGTCTTGACAGATTACTGATGATGATGATGATGTTTTATTTTGTGTAAGTGTTCTGTTTTCGAAGTCTCGGGGCGAACACTGCGCGCAATGGTGTGTCGCGGCACACCTGAGTACCACTGATCTAACGAGTAAAGCACACGGGGCGGTCCAACGTGACTCCAGATGATCTAGGCATTTGGAAGCCTAATCCACAAATATAAGAAAACTGCTCATATAGCTTACCAGTAGAGAAATATGTACTTCATTTTGCAAGTTTCTTCCAAAATGTTATATTGAAATATCCTGTTGCGCTGTGTTGCAGAACATTACAGCAGGTTCCTTCATCACAACATCTTGTACACCTGATGATGGCCGACTAGGCCGACACATGTCGTACGATGAACCGAACGAGATGAGTGAATACTAACCGAAGTTGCACAAAGATGGCAAAAAGTGGAATGCATAGTCATGTTCTCTCAAAAAGCTAACTAGGAATCCTTGCGCAGTTCTCTAACTACATTATTCAATGTGGGCCTTGCACGAGTGACCAGGCACTTCAGGTCGAGTTGACGATCCTTATAACACCATTTTGAGCACCAGGTATAACCTTGTAATGAAACCAATACGTATTTTTCAGCCGTAAAGAATTTATTAATTCGTCTTTACTCACCTTATTGTTGGTGTCTTCATGGTTACCCCAAATTCCGTCTTTAACTGAAGTCAGACGAGGTCCGTCTTCCTCAGAATTGGGCGCCATTTTATCTCTGTGCAGTTGAGAATCACTGCAAGCAATAGAAGAGACACACTATCAATGCATTGTCATTGAAACGCCGTCTGTGACACAGGGCGGAGCGAAGTACAGCAGTCCTTAGACAACTATGGAATTACGTACCTAAATATTCCTCAACCGTTGAATGTAATACTTTTCAGCAATAAAAATTTCGTTTTGCTGTATAAATACAAAAAGCATCTTCGGCCTTTCACCATTTCCATGCTGGCTTCCCACTGCGGCGGCCCGAGTTCGATTCCGGGTCTCGTCAAGTGGGATTTGTGGTGAACAAAGTGAAGCTGGCGCATGTTTTCTCCGAGCACTTCGGTTTCCCCTGCCAATCTTCATTTCACCAAATTCTCCATCACCATAATCACCCGGGGGCACGCTACAATAGGGAAAACAGTGGCCGCCGTGCCGAGTGGACCCAGTTGGACTCCACCCCCCACTAAGCGAAATTAAAAAAAGAATTTTTAATCCCATCCACGCTATGCACTATATATTTCTCTTTTAAATCTTTTTGATTTAGGTAAGGTCAGTGACAGATAACGAAACCGGCCACCTCTCGTTTCCACAATAACAAGAAGTTCTTGAAAGAAATAGTAAGAGTCGAGTCAGGGTTACTTTATGACTGGGGGTTTATCGCCAATCATTTCGTCTTGGTGACAAACCCCTTGAGACTCACGGCCAGTCATTTTATTTTGCAACCGAACACTTGCTGTTATAGTTCTTATGTAACACCCTCTATGACGAGAGGACGATTGCTGCTGGTCCTCGCCAAGGGATTCATCCTCTGACGAGAGGACGATTGCTGCTGGTCCTCGCCGAGGTAGTCATTTTTAAGTCCGAGTCCCGAGGAATTTCTGACCACATTTTACTGTTTCAGATTCCAGACTCTCCCAACCTGGAGGGCAAGGCCCCCGTATTTATATCCCTCAGGAACAGGGTGTTCCGGTTATACCCCAGGCACTGGGTTCCATTTTCGTCGCCTCCGACAACTCGCAGGGCTACGGTGCAGGTATTCGACCACGCCTACACACGGGATAGCATTCAAATTACATTAAAAATTCAAAGTCAATATTATTTTACGACCGGCGGTTTACAGCCAATCGAAGAACTAATCATCTGTTTTGCTTTCACCACATATTTGGTATTTGATGCGTTACCGACCCCATAGAAAACACCGCGCCCAAATTTGTTCTATTGGGAGTGTATTCGTTGCCCCGGGAACATGTTTATCGAGAAGCTAGCCAGAAACGGCCTCCTTTTACGGCTTTCAGGTTTTGAGGGCGACAGGCACACCAACATATACGGACATCAAGGTNCGATTATGTGGTACACAGTCTATTTTTATCATATAGGAAGTTTTTCCTTCTTTTATATTAAAGTTTTTTTGACTCGTATATTGACCAGGAATTAATTAAATAATTTTCCTGGGGAGTAAAGTGCGGCCGACGCGTAAGGCTGACAACCTTGCCGCCATCTGTGAACCGATTGTCTAGAAAATGTGGGAGCCTCGACGTCTCTCAGCCCCATGGGCCTCCATGGCCTATTACAGGGATAGCTTTACCTGTTTTTTTACTGAAAATATTGTATTCAAGCATTTTCTGGTAATCTCATACTGAAGTGAACAATGGAACATGTAAATAAACATTCACTTGTACGTATAAGCACGGGAGATTTTACGAAAACTAAACGGTAAAGTGGCAGTTGACTTCCTGCAACACTTGCTCTGCGAGGGAAAAAGCGGTGCCGAGGTCTCGCAACTGCCCGCTTCGCTTAATGAGGAACTGCGAGCCCTGTGAGCAGATTATCAGCTGCAGTGTACAGCAAGTCGGTTGATAACGGTAACCTCAACAAGATATACGTCACTCACTAGTGACACCGAGTGCCGTACGGTCGACTGGAAACAAGGGTTTCAACTTCGGCCGCAAGCAATTCTCTATCTACCACAGAGACTCGCGACTGGCTGAATTCGTATCCATTCTGCATATTCAGTAACAGTAAACCTACCTCGTTGCCTCAAGCGGTTATGATTCTAACGTGTTTGGAAAGCGCCCGGTTCGAATCTCGGCCGAGACATTGATTCTGAATAGTATGTGTTCCATCGTGGTATTATAATATAGCATCCCGTCGCATTCAGGCATTATCCTTATAATTAGAGTACAAGTCAATACTGCAACAATTTTTTTTTTAAATATGTAGAACTAGAAACATTTACTAATTTGCTAATCACTTTTAATTTATAAATTTGAATTTTAACGTCTTAATGACATTTTAATGATTTTAACAACATCATAAAGTATTAAAGCTACATATTTAGTGAGAAAAATATTCTAGATGTCTTTTATATCTTAAAAATGTTTTGCTGAATCATTGGCGGGTGATTTAATAATACGGATAATTCCATCGTGGTAGTTTTCATACCTGCATAATATAATAGAAACTACTGAACAGCGAATCTTCGATTGGTGTTGGACTTACCTTCATTTCAGCAGTAAATCACGCGATGCATATTACATGGAGTCAATTTTTTACCTTTATCATATCAGACGTACCCTTCAAAACAGGGTACGATATACACTGTGCAGGGAAACTTACAGAAGAAAAGTCACGTTTAAGTACGCCTGATTTCCCACCGCTCAATTAATACCGGACTGAAAATAGATTATATTTTCTTATGACAGGTCAGTCTACTTCTCTAACCGGCGATGACGCAGTCTCGTTTACATAGCGGATGGAGATATTGCACAAACCTTCACTATCAAGGCATCTTCCTATTACTTCCTCATGGAGCTGAGCCCTTCTGCAGGAGCCGCCAATTTTACAGCTACTGAAGAATTTCCCAGCATTTTATGGAACCCGAAGGTTCATCACCGTGTTCACAAGAGCCTTCCACTGGTCCCTATCCTGAGCCAGATCTATCCAATCCATACCATCCCATCCTATCTCTCTAAGATCCATTCTAATATTGACCACCCACCTACGCCTTGGTCTTCTCAGTGATCTCTTTCCTTCTGGCTTTCCCACCAATATCCTATACGCATTCCTCGACTCCCCCATTCGTGCCACATGCCCTGCCCACCTCATCCTCTCAGGCCACTACTGGCTTTGATTATAAATGTCATTCATAAACATGGCTGTGTGGGCACGCTCAGCGTGGTCCAGTTCTAAGTTCTGGCAGAGTGCTAAGAAGAAACTGACTCCTAGGAGAGAGGAACTACAGACCGAGGTGCTTCATAATTTGCACTCTGCACAAAATGTTACTAATTGTTACTACTAAGTTACAAAATGTTATATAACATAACGTTACTAGGCTGATGAAATCGAGAGAAGATGGCTGGATAGCGAATGTTTTGGGGAGGCGAAGGATTCTTGTATAATTTTTATCGGAAATCATGAAGCGATCCCGATAGGAGAGTAGCATTAGAAGTAGGGTATCTGCACACGGAATATGTTCAGCTGGTTAGCAAACTCTTGTAAACACAACGATTAACTTTCATTCCATAGATGTGAGTGATTTCTTCACCAGCTGAGATACTACCAGCTTCAGAAGAAGGATTCCTATCATCTAGTTAGAACGATGATAGAGTTGGCTACAATAAGGTACACAAGAAGTTAAAAGGATTCATCATTAATCGGCAACAAATCGAAATATTTCGATGGTCGTTATATTGTCAATTTCTCAGAACAGACGCACATATCTCAGTAACCTACCTGTAGCAGTACGGAAACTCGCACCTGGACACAGAACTGCTCTAATTCCATTCAGCTCACACCCTCACACCTTGCGTCTAAACATATTCTCCCATCTCCTCTCTGCTAATGCAGTAGGCGACCTGCGTGAACTGCCGAGTTCTGATTATGTAACTTACTACATCCTCGCAGCCGGTCACAGTAGCCGCGCGGTCTTCGCGCCTTCGTGCTCTGGGATCGTGAGTTCGAATCCCACTCAGGGCATGGATATCTGTGTGTAGGTAGCGGCCTTGCGACGTGCTGATCCCCAGTCCAAGGAGTTCTACCGTCTGTGTAAAAACGATTACGGAACTGAGTAAGAGGCTTGGGCCCTGAATGAGCCCTACTTGGGAGGGGGGGGCGAGGGGGGATTACCTTGCTCTTGCTGTTTAGACTGCATAGCGACGAATGGTAAGGTGACTGATGAATTTGATAGGATTTAGAATAAAGCGGTCATGGGCTAACAAAGGTTTCCTGGAATTCGCGTGGAGGCACTGAGGAGAAGCACGAAGAAATCAGGGTATCCGATGTCTGTGCCGAGATTCAAACTGAGCTACACCAACCCGCTCGAGGTTTCTATTATAATTACGTGCATGCACATAATTTAGGGTTATGTAAACGTGTGTTTAAATATCACGTAAGTAATTACAAGTTCTCAATTTCAAAGACCTAAGCCATTATTTGCCGGTCACGGTAGCCGAGCGGTCTAAGCCGTGCACTGTCTTCGCTCGCTCGGAAGCCGGGATCGTGGGTTCAAATCCCACTGAGGTCATGGATGTTCGTGTGGGTTTTTCCGTGTTTGTGTACAGGTAGAGGCCTTGCGACGAACTGATCACTCGCCCAAGGATTCCTACCGAATGTGTAAGATCTAGTAAACCGAAGTGAAACGGAGAGTTTCATGGAGGTAGGCCTAGGCCAAAATTGGGGCTGTATCGCCAAAGAAAAAAAAGCTATTATTTTAAAACTTAGGACCGTACACGGTGTTCCGATAATTTTGTTCTCACCAATTGCGCACGTCCGACATGTTGAGTTGAGAATAATAGAAGAAAAAAGACAAATATGTGTGGAAAAATTTTAATAGAAATCCTTAATCATTGTTCGTAATGAGTTATGCCTGTTTTTGAAGCAGGAGATAACCAGATAGGCAGAAGCAGCTCCAGTTGAGGGAAGGGGTGGGTCCAGAACAAGGCACTCGATTTCACTGGAAATGCAAAATGAGATTCATTTGATACAGCAGACTTATCGGAAGGGAACTGCATTATTACAGTATACCGTTTC